TCTTCTCCGGGGCCAGGACCCGAGCCTCGGCGGACCGTTTCGGTCTGGAGCCCGGCTCCATTACCCGGGCCGTGCTGGTCGTCGGCTCCGCGGATGGAGGCTGGAGGGTGGGTGCAGCGGTGACAGGCCCGAGGAGGGAGCTGCTGCCCTCCGCTACGACCCGAGGCGTGTCGGCGCGGAGGGACCAGGTGTCCGAGCCCGGCTTCCTGGTGCTGCTGGGCGACGCATCGTCACGGCTGATGCGAGGTGAAGCGTCCGAAAATCCAATATGTCCGTAGAAGATAAGCAGCAGAGCTGGAGATATGTACATCATTAAGGACGGGTTTCAGCTCTCCATGTAGCCCCGGTAACGGTCTCTCTCAGACCTTTCCCTGCATGAAGCCGTACTCCACCATTGACGTCCCCCGGCGGTGCTCCAGCTTCTTACCGTAACAGTCAACACCGTCCGCAGCGCAACCTACCTCGATGATTGACAGGCGCGACAGCCAATCAGAGTGCGTCTGAGCGCTCTCCGCGCTCTGATTGGACGAATCTTTCACCATTCCTTTAATATGTTGACAATATCCGCTCATCTCCACTCTGCTGTAAATGTAAAATGTTAATACTGTACTTTCATTCATAAAACCATCACTTGCCCTCCACCGGAAGCGATAATGATTTTGCTTGTGTCTGTGTTGGCGGGTCTGTCTGTCATCAAATTATCTAATGAATTACTGGACAGATTTTAATGAAACACGTCTGAAAATGTTAATATTTAGAGTCAGCCCTGTTCAAGATGGCCGCCGCAACTCGTTACCTTTGCAAATACAAATATTGTACAACCATAACACAGTGACAACAAGCAGAATTTATTGTGGTGGACCATCTCCTCCATTCATTCAACCTTATTTCTACAGGTGAGTCTCACTGAGTTACAAGAGAGTTCTGTTTAAACAAAGATCACACATGAGGGACAGACAACAATAGACAATCATATAAAAAGCATATTAAATGAAAAGGAAATAAAATAAGTTATATAAAAACGAAACAAAGACAGCTACATTATAAAGCGATGTAAAATACTAAAAACAGGAACATGTGCTTTTTGCCATGAACATAACAGATTAAAGCCACTTAGACAGGTCAAAGGTCGAGAGCTTCAGATCTTTTTGCAAGATATTCCAGGAAACAGGAGCGGAGTAGGAGAAGGTCCTTTTGTCTAGTTCAGTCCTCACTGAGGGAACACTGCAGGTAATAATGTCCTGAGAGCGCACGCTGTAGCTGCACTCACGCAGTGATATGTAGGAGGAGATGTATGAAGGCAGCAGACCAAGAAGTGATTTAAAGATGAAAATGAGTCTGCGTGAAGTTAATGATGTTAACCAGTGAATACTGGGTGCAGTGGTGGGTACGGTAGTTACAGGCAGTTATGAATCTTAGTGCATCGTGATAGACAGCATCCATCATCTGCAGGGTTCTTGTAGGAGCGTTCATGTAAATGATGTCACCGTAGTCCGTGAAGGGAGGAATGTAGCAGTAAGGTGTTTCCTAGTGTTCAGAGTTAGACAGGATCTACTGTATTTCTAAAAAAGAAACCCATTTTTACTTTCAATTTCTTTACAATATTACACGTGTCCGCGCTGTCTGTCAGCAAAATATCTCATAAATCTGGACGGATTAATGAGACTATCTGAAAATTGTTATTGGGTTTGCAACAACAACTCGTAATTATTTTTGTAAACACAATTCAAAATGGCAGCCACAGCCAACTGACCTCAGGAAACACTAAAATGTCTGCAGGTCAGTGAACTGTCAGATACTGAGCGAAAATCTGCTGTGGTGGTAACTTGGTAGTTGTGTCATTTTCTGAGCACTGATTATTAAGTCATAGTTGTACAAGTAGCTCAGTGGTGGTATTGCATGAGGAAATCTGGAGTGGCAGAGAAGTATGTTAGACTGGTACAGGACATGTATGAGGACAGCAGGACAGTGGTGAGATGTGCTGTAGGAGTGACAGATGGCTTCAAGGTGGAGGTGGGAGTGCATCAAGGATATGCACTGAGCCCCGTCTTGTTTGCTCAGATGATGGACTGACTAACAGATTTTTTTTCATTCAACCTTTATTTAAACAGATAAGTCACATTGAGCCTCAAAGACTCATTTACAAGTGAGACCTGTTTGGACCGACAATAAAAGTGATAAACTGGACACATGTAGGAATTGGAGGTGAAAAATTCCTATCAGACTTTTTTTCCTGCCTGAGAAGAAAAAACTCTGATATTAAAAAAAACCTCGCACAAACAAGCACATAGTGACGTAGACATTCTGCAGAGGGGGACAACGAGAGCGGTGAGCATGTTTATAGATGCTCTCGAGGGCATTGTAAGAGTTCTGATAAAGATGTAAAAATCAGTCAATGTCCTCCGATGAGATCCATAAATATTCTCGAGGTATGTCAAGGAATGGCCAAGAATAACGACTATGAGAATCCAAGAGTCCTGAAATGATGACACAAAGTTAATTCAGCTGGTTTCATCTGGTTATCAGTTGGAAATTCCTCAGGGAGGGGGTGGTGAGTGTCAGATCACATGTTTTCCAGGTGAATTCAGATAAGATGGCCTTCAAGGCCAGCCAAGGGAGCCAAATTCAGATAAACACACGGTTGTTTTGGGGACAGGCCGAACTATAATGACATCTACCTTGAGTCTGCGTTGGTCTAAACGGTTCTGAAATGTCCAAATTACATGGCCACACCGATGGAACGTGCCTGAGTAAAATCCCCGAGATCTGATCCATTCTGCCCAAAGCATTTGAGTCTGGGTACTCGAGGCACGAACCAAGCCATCATAAAGGCAAGTAGCGTGATCTGGTCCAAATTTGCTGCTGACGACTTCCTTGATTGATTGATAAAACCAGCACCAGCTGAATCCAAAAAGCAGGAACCAGTTATAATAAATCCAATTAAATATGTGTCCTTAAAATCCACAGATGGCAGCAGAGATGGACACATCATCAAGTCTTCAAGTCGATGAGATATCTAGCTGTGTGCGTGCCAACAGGGTAATCGGCTCGCCTAAAGCCTGTCTTCCTTTTGAAGAAATGTTGTATATTGAGTTGAGGGACCAACTGATCAAAAAATCCACAGTTATGTTTTGGAAGATGCAAGAGAGGCTCTGAAGAAGTTTCACAGACAGACACAGCAGCAAAGTGGAGAGGGAGGGGAGAAGCATCCGATCTCGGCAAGAGCAAGTGGTGAAGTGATGAGGTCAGGCAGGAATGCCCATGGACTATGATATTTGCAGATGATATTGTGATCTGTGGTGATAACAGGGAACAGGTGGAAGAGAACTTAGAGAGGTGGAGGTCAGAGTCAGAGATTCTTTATTGTCATTCGCACCTCATGTGGTACATGTGGTGGAGCGAAATTATGTACACAGGGTCCCAGTTACATCCAACAATAAAATGTATAAGAAAAACAGTAATA